ATATGAATGGTAGCCTGCTCTCTCTTAGCTAACTATGGGCCTTGTTTCCAAAACAATTACATGCACCCTCTACCTATTACCACCCAAAACTCATCTACTCTTCCCTCTCTCACATTGCATGCTCCCAATCTCCCCCCTCCATTGCAAGAATGCCAGCTGCTCAGGGCAGTTATAACCTAATCCTGGAGCATCCTCAGCTCAGCAGATGACATTGGAAAATTCCTCTCTCCACTCCTTTTTCATTTTAGGTGGAACAGAATGAGTCACACCAGATAAACAGGCATGGATAGGCTGTGTGTGAACTGCATTGCAAATCTCATTACTGAATCTCTCTTCCACCTAACTCCCAACATCCCCCTCCTGGAAACTTCCTTTTTACCATTGAGGACATTACTGTCCTTCCAGTTACTTGGTTTTATAAAGTTTGTCACTGATTCTTTGTTTTCACCCACCCCACTCCAAATCTTGTCCTTTTTATCCCTACATCTCTCCCACCTATCCCCATTTCTCAACTCACCTTTTGTCTGGGCTATTGTAATATCTAACTGGTCTGGAGCTTCAAATTTGCCCACCCAAATTGTCCCTCTGCTCAGCTGCCAAAGTGATTTTCTTAATTCACGAGTATAATGATGTTACCTCCTTCCCCTTGAATAAACTTCAGTAATTTCCTAATTACATTTAGAATAAAAAAAAAACTCCTGTGTTTGGCATTTAAAGTCCTTCAAAGCCCAGTCCCAGCCTATCTTTCCAATTTTATTACATATAATTACTCCTCTTCATGTATTCTATGATCTCTAGCTCATCAGTTCTCAAAGTGTGATTCTTGGGAGCATCTCTGAGATGCTTTTAGGGGGTCTGAAGGATTAAAACTTTTAAAAAATAATACTAGGATGTTTTAATTAATAATATGGTAAATGTTGATAGATATACCCTATATTAACAAAAGCTCTTTGAAGGATCCACAAAACTTTTTGAGAGAAATGATTATTAAATAAGCAATTATTGGGGAGATCCAGGTTTCCCCTTCCTAGTTCCCCATTCTCTACTAGGTCAAACCAGAATTTGAAGGGCATTGCTGTTGATGAGATTAGATTAACTTTTTCCTCAATCTTTTTTTTTTTTAGTTTGTTTTTTTGTTAGGCAATGGGGTTAAGTGACTTGCCCTGGATCACACAGCTAGTAAGTGTCAAGTGTCTGAGGGCAGATTTGAACTCAGGTCCTCCTGACTCCAGGGTGGGTGCTCTATCTACTGAGCGGCCTTGCTGCCCCCTTTTCTCCTCAATCTTGTTCAGATGCCATAAAATTGGGGAAATCCATTGTGTTCTATTCAGGCTTGAGTTGGGGATAGATCCTTTGTCTAGATTGCCTGAGGCTGGAGGTGGTCTGGGAGCAAGAGTGATCAGAGTCCCATCCTCTCATTAGAATGGATCCAGCTCTCATTATAATATTCATTCTTCTTATTAATTGTTAACTAATCAGAGTTGATTTTCACCCTTAGAATCACCCACTCTTCCAAGGGCATATAAGCCAGGTTCCATGAGGGGTCTTTGGCATTTGAAAGTGCCATTGACCCATTATTAATTATCTGCTAGCAATAATTAATAAAATGATTAATTACTCAGAAACTATCTCTCCTGAACTTTGTGTATGTTGAACTTTTTGATGTTCCTTGCAGTCCTATTAAAAACACAACAAAAACATCCAAATATGGATGGGAAAGTAAGTTATAATGCTGTCCATTTAGGAAAACCAGGTAAAAAAAAGATAAATGGGTTCATAGCAATTTATAACAGCTAGGTGATACAATGAATAGAGCTCTGGTCAGTCAATAATGATTTAATAAGCACCTCCTATGTGCCAGGCACTGAACTTGAGAAGCTCACAGTCCAGTGTCAGAGACAACAAACAATTATGTACAAACAAATTATATGCAAGATAAATAGGAAATAACTACCAGAGGGAAGGCTCTCTGTTAACAAAATGTTGGGAAAGGCTTTCTATAGATGAGATTTTAATTGGGGCTCAAAGGAAGCCAGGGTTTGTAGGCTATGAGCCAGGAGTCAAGAAGGCCCAAATTCAAATCTAGCCTCATTTATTATCTGTGTGATTTTTGGGCAAGTCACTTAACTTCTGTCTGATTCAGTTTCCTCAAGTGTAAAATGGAAATAGCAATAGCACCTACCTCCTAGGGTTGTCCTAGGATAAAATGAGATCATATTTGTAAATTTCCTGCTGCGTAGTAGACCCTATATGAATACTCTCAATCATCGTCATTACCACAGCCATTTTCTGCTGAGGCTCTGAATTCAGACAATTCCCTTTTGCCTTGTATATATGGTCAATAATTACACAGAGAAACAGGACTTGCTGAAAAGCTGTTTTATGTTCATTGACTTTTAGGACCTATTAGTTGACTCATATTGGGTATCCTCCAATAAAAAAAAGTATTTTTAAAGCAATATTTACCTGCTTAGTTAGCTATCTTGATCAAATTAACTGAGTAATGAATTAGTAACAACTATGACTTACAAATCTACCTCATCCCTTAGCAACATAAACAGGTATTTTTCTTTCATCAGGTAAAAGAACTGGAAGTAAAGGTGCCTCAGAGGCCATCTAGTTGTCTAACTCACCGAGGAAATGAGGCCCAGGGAGGCTAGGGGACTTGCCCAAGGTCACACAGTTAGTGTCTGGAGGTATGATTTGAACCTAGGTCCTCTGACTTAGACTTTAGTTAATTAGACTCTGGCTTAGTGCTCCGTGTCAGGTATATTCAATGACTATTCTCAAGAATAAAAAGTTTCCTTCTGCCTTTAACAAAATAAGAACTCCAAACATAGTTTATTCACCTTTATTTCTTCTCTTTCTATTTTTAAGCATTCTATTTTAAATAAGTTAAAATATTCTATATTAACAATCTTTTAAATTATGTACATATTAGTACAATAGCACACATATATAATTTATGACTAAGCACACAGATATGAGAAAGGTGTGCAGCCTCAACATTTATATATATATATATGTATTTTTTTTTTTCCTGTGGGAGTGCCTAATTAAAATATATTTGGAAACCACTGCTCTAGACTGATAGCACCACCCTGTGGTTTAGATTCATCTCAGAGCAGAGGAAAAAACCTTGGGAGAGTTAAAGACAGTCTCTCCCAACATTTCATTTGGTCCCATATTCACCTTAGGGACCTGAAAAGGCCTCTAATCTTATGGTATCACAATGGGGCCTTGGACTCCCTCTGGAGGGAAATGAGTTTAGGGCTGTTGGAAGGGACACACACTGAGGTGGGGGGGCCCCCCCCCAGCCTTGGACCAGCATTATCTACAATCCAGAGTGACAGTAGGCCTCTTGCTCTCAATACCATGGAACTGGAACCTTAGATGGCTTTTCTAATTTCAGGACTATCTGCACAATCCTCTCCCCAAGAAGCAATACGATCCAGAGGAAAGATTGGGAGTCAGATAATCAGAATTCAAATCTCACCTCTGAAGTGACTGTGGGCAAATCACTTAAAATCTCTGGGCCTTGGTTCTCTCATCTGTAAAATAAGAGGTATTGGACTAGATGGCTTCCAATTTTAGATGTATGATAATGATAATCCTAAACTTAAGAACTCTTCCCTGATCCTTGAGCTTTCTAGGAATCTTACATTCCCTGGGGGAATTCCTTCCTTATTGAAAAGGCTGAATTCTCAGACTCTGAGCATGTGCTACTCTCTTGTCTTTCCATGGCTGAGTCCAGGAATTCTCATTATTTCACCACTGCAGCTGCTACCATTTCTTAGGCCCTCTCTATCCTGTCTCTCCTGAGGAACTGGCATCTTAGTGGGTGGGTTAGTCAGTGTAGGGTGGGAAAGGCAAGGGGGAGTGTTTACATCAATGCCAAAGCATCCCCTCTGAAAGACCAGCAACTGGCTTATCTAACATCTTCAGAAAAGAGACAGCAACAGGTAGGCCAAGCATAAAGCCTGGCCTCCACTCCATAAAAACCCAAGCCAATTAATTAATTCCCAGTAGATGAAATTAAAAGAGGTGTACTTAATCCTTTCTAGAAGGTGACAATGGGCATGTTCACAATCCCCCATCAGGATATATTCTTTCTACTATCCTCAAGTTGATTATTGAATTTCTATGATCAATTCTGGCATAAAGAATTCTCCATTTTTATCTACTTCCCTATCTAAATTTTGGACTAGATTGGACTTTATTTCATTGAATCCCTTCATTTTGCAGATAAGGAAGTAGAAATCAAGAAAGGTAGTAAATAATAGAACCAGTATTCAAATTCAGCATTGATAATTTCAAATTCATTGATCTATCTTCTATACCATGGTGGGTCCTTGAGGGTTCTTTCTGCTTTTCTTTTTTCTGACACTTCAAAATAAAGAAAAATGAAAGAAGAAAACCTCAGGGTCCCTGCCATGTGGGTTTTGACTTAATCTTTCCACCCTGTGCTAATTACCATGATGGTAATTTTGTGTGCAGAGGAGTATACCGTAATGTGTCTCCAGCCCCCTTGATGTGATGGAATTGAGTTGCTCAGGAATTATATTGTGTCAGGCCAGGTGGCCTTACTTTGGGGACCCTACACCCAACTTATAACCCTTTGCTGCTTCATCTAAGCCCTGGTGTTGGGAGGAAGGAGACCCCTAGTGACAAGGCTGGTTTGCAGGCTTAGGCCCCTGTACTTTTCTTACAGACTCTTTCAAGGACACTGCCCTACTTGCTACATAGACATTCCCACTTGGCAGAACCCACTTCCTGTTGGCATTAGGTTGATTGTCTGCATTCCTCCTTCCTGCCCTCAGAGTGGTTTCTGCTTTTACCTGGGGACTCTATTTGGCTATAGCCTGTTCAGAGAAAAATCAACCACATGTTTGATTCACCTGACCACTTTGATTTTTGTGGCACAGCCCATAGTAGGACACCCTGGCATCAGAAAAGGAAAAGACAGAAAAAATTAATATTTTTAAAATTAACGGATTCACCTCTGATCACCAGTCTTTGAGCTTCCATATTGGCCCACCATAGAAAAGTGCAGGGGTTAAGGGAGCATCCTTCGGGAGACTTTTTTTTTTGAGTCTGCAAAATAAAGCTGAAAAGGATGTTCTATATTTTAGGATGAGGCGAAAGGTTTGATTACAACAAGTCCTTTGCAAAATTGGAATTTGAAAAACAAATATTCTCCTTTTTATCCACTGCCCCCATCTAAGTTTTGGATTAGATGGGACTTTTAAATAATCTCATCTAATCCTTTCATTTTACAGGCAAGGAAGTGGAGATCCAGGAAAGTAATAAACAAGAATAGAACCGGTATTCAAAACCAGCTTTAATAATTTCAAATTTAGTTGTTAATTTTTAGCTAATTAAAAAAGCTTCATTGTTTTAATCTCTTTGATGATTAAAAAGAATGATGTTCATGATTGGGTTTTCAGTAATGTTTACTTTAAATGTGTTGAGTATGCCTAAGGTAATGATACAAATCCTGGTGTACTGGGGCATTGAAACTTACAAAAAAAAAAAAAAGGACATTTCAAGGACAAGTGAGTAGTATAATTTGTAGATACTTTCAAGAACATAAGTCATTTGCTCATGAAAGGAATGAGCTGAGCTTCCTCTGGCTAGCTCAGTAAAAGGGAGGCTTAATTTCTTTTGGTTGCAGTCTTGCCCTTCTTTCTCATCCTCCAGAGATAGTAAAGGGAAATGGATGTAGATTATACTGATGGTGAGAATGAAAATGCTCTGGCTGGCTGTCATTTTTTTTTTCCTCCAGAGGCCTTGGATAGAAAGTGTTAGGGGTTCTGCTGCCACCGTGCAAGGACCGTGGCCATACTAGTGGAACTAGGAAGAAGGGAGTATTTCTGAGATCAAAGGAAAGTTAAAGGATGTTTCTAAGCTCATTTTACAGAGCAGTAGATAGGTTCAGAGAAATAAACTGATTAGGTCGAGGTAATTCAGCTAGTTAGCAGCAAAACATTTGGTCTTTTGAATAATCCCCAGGCCAGCGCATTTTCTACTAAACTAAGCTATCTTCCATCTTGTGGGACTTATGAAATAGAGAAGGAAAGAGAGAGAGGAAATCTGGGACTGACAGGAAGGAAAAAGGATATTTTTGGGGGGTTTGTTTAAACTTTTAAAGTATGACATTTCTAGTCACACACACTGCTGGCTGAGTCTCTCTGCATCTCACTGAGGGAAGGTTCTTGGGACTCGGGGGCTTCATTGTCTCTATTTCTTCCCTATTTCCAGAGTTCTCCAGACCAGAGTACCCTCAGACGCCTAGCCAGTTCCACATGGACTCAGGGAGCCCCAACTTTTCCCCCAGCAGCAAGGAGCTCAGCTGGAGGGGCACATCTACACAGTCATTGGTCCCCAAGCGTGTCTAGTGCTGGGGGAAGGAGTAGCGCGTCCCATCCAGTTCCACTTGGAGAGTTCTAAGCAATTCTGAGCTCAGCTTCCCCGAACGTCAAAGCCTGGGAGAGAACTTTCCCTTCTCTACCTCACAAAACGAAACTGCAGCGGAATGAAACATTGAAACGAAACTTTGAGGAAAATGAAGAAAAGCGTCTTCTGACAACCCTGATATTTCTCTTAGGGGTTACAAGCGGGGATTGAATGATCTCTATGATTTCACTACAGGGTCCGAGGGGCTCTATATCTCTATGAAACATGGCGGAGAAAGGCTGTTAGAAGCTAATTCTTTTCTACTTGGGCGGAGGGGGGGAGGAGAAAGCAGATTAGACACAATGAGGCAATGATATTGTTTTCGGAAAGGGAAAGCATTCAAGAGGAGAAGTCTTTCCCGCCAGTTCCCAGAATACGTTGGGTATTTCAGGGATAGGATAGGGAAATGGTCCTGTGATTTCACTGGCGTGGGGAAGTCCCTCTACCAATTAGGAAGGCACCTACCAATTCAGGTCGGCACCTTCGCAGCTACTAGTCCTAGAGAATTGCCTAGAGCAGTAAGGATAAATGACATGGCCAGGAACAGCTAGCTAGGTAATTGGTAAGAGGCAGGTCTTAAATAAAACCAGCTCGTCCAGGCTTGCAAGGAAGCTCGGAATCCCTTTTGCCACGCAGTCTCGCGATGATAGTTGGGCAGGCAGGGACAGAATACAGACCTTCATTAAAAATAAGTGGATTAAGGAAGCGGGAGACAAGGTGGCGTAGAGCCTCAATCGGAGTTAAAAAGACCCGATTTTTAAATTATTTCATTCCCTTGGGCAAGTCACTTAATCACAGTACCGAGGGCAATTGAGAACGGTAATTGTAGATGTACTTACTTGCCTGTGTTGTCAGAATTTCAGGATCCAGAAATTAACTAAGCTAGCAACATTACAAGTCTATTCCCTATCCCAACCTATAATGGGGGCGGAATAGAAAAATGCCAATATTTACCAACTTCATATTGTTTGTTACAGAAAGTGTCGACCTGCACAGATAGGACGAGCCTTTCATACTGTTTTCTAGAATAGGCTTCAAAGCCCCACTTCTTAACATTGAACAGAGAAGGTTTTAAAGGGGAATGCAGAAAAAACATGTGTTTGTTTTAAACTCAAGTGAATAGCATCTTTTTATGATCAAGTGGGTGGCTCTGAAAAGAGCCTTTGTTTCATGGGAAGTCGATGACTCCTGGAGCAGCCGCTTACTTGGAGCTGGTGTACTTGGTGACGGCCTTGGTGCCCTCGGACACGGCGTGCTTGGCCAGCTCCCCGGGCAGCAGCAGACGCACGGCCGTCTGGATCTCCCGAGAAGTGATGGTCGAGCGCTTGTTGTAGTGCGCCAGGCGGGAAGCCTCGCTGGCTATGCGCTCGAAGATGTCGTTGACGAAGGAGTTCATGATGCCCATGGCCTTGGAGGAGATGCCCGTGTCGGGGTGGACCTGCTTCAGCACCTTGTAGACGTAGACAGAGTAGCTCTCCTTGCGGCTGCGCTTGCGCTTCTTGCCGTCTTTCTTCTGGGCCTTGGTCACGGCTTTCTTGGAGCCCTTCTTAGGAGCAGGAGCCGATTTTCCTGGTTCAGGCATGGTTATCGAAAGCACAAAGCCACTGAAGTCGCGACTGAAGTACAAAGACACAGAATGGCGACAGGCCCTTTACTTATAGATCCGGCATGCAAATAAAGGCTTTGGGATACCCACTAATGATTGGTAGATGAGTTTTCGTCATTTCCTGGTAGCCTACGATGCAAATGATGAGATGAAAATTCTCTTTTCCTATTGGTTGTTCTAATCAAACGGCCTTCCTAGCCAATAAAACGACTCCCTTTCTGCCTGCCGGTAGGTCTTATAAATTACTTCAAATTGATGCTGGAAGGTTTTCTGTCTTTCTTTCTCTAAGAGAGGATCTCGTTCCTTTTATCGCCATGTCTGGCCGCGGAAAGCAGGGAGGCAAGGCTCGCGCCAAGGCTAAATCTCGTTCGTCCCGGGCCGGGCTGCAGTTCCCAGTGGGCCGTGTGCACCGTTTGCTCCGTAAGGGTAACTACGCCGAGCGGGTCGGCGCCGGAGCTCCGGTTTACATGGCGGCGGTCCTGGAGTATTTAACTGCAGAAATTTTGGAGCTGGCGGGAAACGCAGCTCGGGACAACAAGAAAACCCGTATCATCCCCCGCCATTTGCAGCTAGCAGTGCGCAACGACGAGGAGCTCAACAAACTCCTCGGGGGAGTCACCATTGCTCAAGGCGGTGTCTTGCCAAACATCCAGGCCGTCTTGCTGCCCAAGAAAACCGAGAGCCATAAGCCTGGCAAAAGCAAATAAACGTTAAGGGGGACTAGACTTGTCCCTCCAACCCCCCCAAAACGGCTCTTTTAAGAGCCACCCTCATCTGTCAGATTAAGGGGCTATTATCACTAAAAACAGTAGCAGGGCTATCTATTATCTATTACGGTTATTTGTTCTACTATTTATCACTAATAGTATCTCAGCTCTTCTTTGATGGAATGGATGGCTCTAAAAAGAGCCTTTTGTCTTTGGCGTAGAGTTCTTATCCAATTATTTGCTCTTGGGTTTGTGGCTTTCAGTTTTCTTAGGTAGCAGGACCGCCTGTATGTTAGGTAGAACGCCACCCTGGGCAATAGTCACTCTGCCCAGAAGCTTGTTGAGTTCTTCGTCGTTGCGGATGGCGAGCTGCAAATGGCGGGGAATGATGCGCGTTTTTTTATTGTCTCTGGCAGCATTGCCTGCCAGCTCCAGGATTTCTGCTGTGAGGTACTCGAGCACAGCGGCCAAGTAGACCGGCGCTCCGGCACCAACGCGTTCGGCATAATTGCCCTTCCGGAGCAGGCGATGGACGCGGCCCACTGGGAACTGGAGTCCAGCCCGAGAAGACCGCGTCTTGGCTTTAGCACGAGCTTTACCTCCTTGTTTCCCTCGGCCTGACATGACGGAAATCGAATTAAGAAGAGAGAAAAAGAGATGTAAGCTTCGAGAAAATAACTCCTGGAGATAAATAAGGTATCTTTTGTAGACTTCTATAGGGGCGGGGTTAGAAAAGATCAACTTTCATTGGCTTGGAAAAAAAGCTCCCGAAGAAACCAATAGAAACAGTAGCTGTAATGCAATTACATTACATTGACCAATAGGAATAAAGAGCATGTTGAACCCTAATTTGCATGCAGCCGTTATAAAAGAATGCAGGCTCTCACATCGGTTTACTCTCTGTTTCTTTCAGCCTCCGTTTTCGTTTCTCTTAGGCCAAGAAAACTTTGATCAACATGCCCGAGCCGGCTAAGTCTGCTCCTGCCCCGAAGAAGGGCTCCAAGAAAGCCGTGACCAAGGCCCAGAAGAAAGACGGCAAGAAGCGCAAGCGCAGCCGCAAGGAGAGCTACTCCATCTACGTCTACAAAGTGCTGAAGCAGGTCCACCCCGACACGGGCATCTCCTCCAAGGCCATGGGCATCATGAATTCCTTCGTCAACGACATCTTCGAGCGCATCGCCGGCGAGGCTTCCCGCCTGGCGCACTACAACAAGCGCTCGACCATCACTTCCCGGGAGATCCAGACGGCCGTGCGCCTGCTGCTGCCCGGGGGAGCTGGCCAAGCACGCCGTGTCCGAGGGCACCAAGGCCGTCACCAAGTACACCAGCTCCAAGTGAGCATGTGTTCAGAAAGGGGCGGACTTCCCCCTCACCAAAAAGGCTCTTTTCAGAGCCACCTACCTAATCCTGAAAAGAGCTCTAATGCTAGCATCACTACCTTACTTTCTTGGAGATATCTTATTTAAAGTAGTCCTGGCTGGTAAGACTTAGCAGCTTGGAACTGCAGTCCTTGCAGGTTTAGGAGTATTTATGTTAAACCTAGTAATTTCTAATGTCAAGTTAAGTCTTAATTGTTTGGCTACTTTCTTGTAAGCTTTTGTTTTTTAATAAATGCGTGGTCTTTGTTAAGTACTTGCCCTCGAGAATTGAACATGGTTTTTACTGAGTTGATATCAGAAGTCTATTAGTATTATAACAACGGCAGCGTAGCATTTAAGGTCTTAAAAAGTAAGACCTCCACTGCCTAGGAGTCAGACTATGGCCCTGGGTCTTTTTTTGGGCGGGGCGGGGGGGGGGGAGAAGCAAGATTTATGACTATGTTTTACAGGCCTTTGAAGCAAAACCTCCCGCCCACTTCACTGGACTCCTTTGCAATTGGGTAGCATTAAAATTCGAAAGTCCCTCGCTGTTTTCAAATTGGCTAACGAATACGTACTTTCCCCTCACTGGAGGACTTCTGAGCCTCATCAATTTCCATGACACTTCCATAACACTGTATTTTCTATGGATTGCGTGTGTATTTAATTTACGATGTATTGAGCAAGCTATTTCTCCCTCTACTCCATTCCCCACCAATCAATGTCAATCTGCTATGGTTTTATGAACATTTTTAAAAACTTAATTTCTGAATGCCTGACATTATGGAACAGGTACATTTTATTTAGCATAGAACTACTCCAGGGCTTCCTTGTAAAACGCCCAATATTTATAAGCTATGTGCCAGGCACTAAGCTAAAGAAAATAAGCAAGAATCTAAGGCCTAGCGAAGGTATTTTACTCTTCCCCCTCCCCCACCAAAGGATAAACCCAATTTCCTTTTTCAAATGAACTTCAATCAAGTTCTAAAGAATGGCCAGTGGAAGAAAATCCTTACCCGGAGCCTTTCCCCCCTACTTCCATTTCTCCCACTTTCTCCAACTGGGCTGAGCTAAGGAAAGTAAATCCTTCTTAAAGAATTAATAGGCAACCACAACAGGCCCATAAACCAGTTTTGCCAACATTAGTCTGAAGGCTAGAAGAAAGCTAAAATAAAGGCAAAAAGAACAGCTGATCTGGGCGGACTAAGGTCTAGGGCTGCATAATAAAAACATCAATCAGACTGTCTGGAACTTCTGGAAGAAGTTGCCTATTCCTCGAACTCAGGAGAAGAAAATAATTATTAACAAGGATGGGATGTGAGACTTGTAGACAAAAGGAGGTTAAGTAATTTGCCCAAAATGGCATAGGCCTACTGAAAAAGGCAGTATTTGAATATGGGCCTTGTGACTGCCAAGCCTACGTTCTCCCTAAAATTAACGTTACTTATCTGTAGGTAGGCAGAGAGGGGGCTATCTCTAGAGTTCTGGTGACAGAATTGTGGTTCCATGGGAGAACCCTAATCTAAAATCCAATAAATCTTTCCCACACCACCCTCATGATGAGATGGATACTTGCCTTTATTTAATTTATTTTTTTTAAGGGCTGTTCTAATTAACCTTTAGGTTTAGAAATATCCTGAGCCTCTGTTGCTTTTTCTTTTATCTAGCTTATCTTCAATAAAAGACATGAACAATTAGATTTGTTTGGAATTACTTCACTGGGTCTTTTTCTGGTAGGCTATTCCTGAAATAGCCCTGTGTAGTGAGTGAATCCTACATTCTAAGGCTCTGGGTGCTGTTGTTATTGTTTTTTTTCCCTTTTCTTAGAAATCTAATTCTTAGAGAAGGTCACTAGAAACCTTAGTGGTCTTCTTAGACATTTAGAAAGGATGACTCATCTAAGCCAGCCACTTTATTTTATAAAGGAGGAATTAGAATTTCAGATGAAATGATTTAATGGAGTGCTTACTGTCTTCCAAATGATAATATACCACTCTTTTTGGATTCTATATCACTATGAGCAAAACATTTTTAAGTATGGCTCCACTGTGAGTTCATTTGCTTATAAATTATATAATGTGCTACTGTACTAATAATTACAAGTATTATAAAACTTATATCAAAAATAGAAATTAGAAAGGTATGAGATGAAGATGAAATGATATTTGATCCTAGAATCAATAGGGAGTGATGGAATCTATTGAGTAAGAGTGATATGTTTATATCATATTATCAAGAAAATAATTTTGGGACTTGTAGGGAAAATGGGATTGGGGAGGGACAAGAAAATTTAAGTTGAGGGGGCAATTAGTGGCCACTGCAATGTTGTTTGGTTGTTGAGTCATTTTTTCATTTGTGATCCCATCAGATATTTTCTAGGCAAAGATATTGGAATGGTTTGCTATTATTTTCTCCAGCTTGACAGATGAGGAAACTGAGGCAAGCAGGGTTAAATGCCTTGCCCAGGGTCACACAGCTAGTAAATGTCTGAGGCCAGATTTGCATTCAGTAAGATGAGTCTTCCTGACTCCAAGTCCACCACTCCATCCACTGTGCCACCCAATTGCCCTAGGGGTGATTAGGACCTGAAATGAGCTAGTGACTGAGTAGGAGAGGGTGGATGGATGCAGGAGTTATTGTGGGAGGAGAAATAACATGGTTTGGCAATTTAATGGATAGTAGGGTGAGGGAGAACAAGGAGTTAAAGATGACACCTAGATTGTAAATCTGGGTGACCAGAAGAATGGTGGTGTCCTTGACAATAGTAGAAAAAGTTAGAAGGGGGTGAGAATGTAATGATATCTGTAATGAAACTCCTAACCTAACCATACCTGTTCATTCTGTGCCATTCAGTCTCACTTAAGACCAAGAGGGGAGGTGGGCCTCTTAGTCACTGCTCTGAAGGACAAAACCCACCTTCTTTGGGGAGCTTGCCATAATCACAGGTCATCTGGAGAAGAGAGGGTTGGTGTGAGGCTTGTGTGAATGTGTGTGTGTGTGTGTGTGTGTGTGTATGTGTGTGTATGTGTGTGTAATTTTCCTAATGGTAGCAGGTGCTGCTGTGGGTACCCTGGTAGTGGTTAGGTTATAACTGCCCTGAGGGGCTGAACTTGGGCTTATAAGGTGGTAGTAAGAAGTGTTGGGGGATAAGGGTTGGCATGTTTGTGTTGGAGACAAGCCCAGTAGGACATGGGTAGCGAGGTTATAACCTTACTCTACCCAGGGACCCAAAGCAGCTTACTCCCTGCCTGCCATTAACACAATATAGTAGGTGAGTAAGCCTAAATGGGAAAGTAACTAGCACAAGATGAGCAGGCATCTGTAGGTTGGGATTGCATTACCTTTTACCCAAATCCTGCACCTCTTCTGAACTTCCTTATATTTGCTGAGGGCATTGCCATCTTTTCAGTCACCTGGTATTTTCTTTGATTCATCATTCTTCTTTAACACATATATCCAATCAATTGCCAAGTCTTGTATTTTCTACCTCCACCAAATCTCTCTCATCCATACCCTGTTTACTAGTCAGATGCCACTAATCTAGTTCAGGCCCTCACTAAATTCTCTTTTGGAGTATTTCAGTACTTTCCTAATTAGTCTCCTTGCCTCTAGCCTCTCTCCGATCCATCTTCCACACATCTACCAAAATAATTTGCACAATTCATGGGTCTAATCACACTTAGTCACTAAACTCTAGTCACTTTCTATTGACTGTAGGATAAAATATTATCTTTATCTTCTACTTTTTATATTTTTGTGTAAGCTTTACAAGATACTTAGTTATTAGACCACATATGTAATTTGTAAATAAGTAAATACATATTCAGAGAGTGTGATCAAAACTTTTTTACTTAGAGACATGCAATCAAAAAAAGTTTGGAGACCATTGCTCTAGACAAAGTCTGTCCTTTTTCTTTAGCAAATGATTTAGATGTTAAAATGATCTATGTAAAGGAGTATACTTTGTAAGTGAAATGAAAGTGAAAGTGAAAAAACGCTTCATAATAAATAGGAAGTAAAATAAATTCGATCCATAATATAGGATTCTTAAAAAGAAAATTCAGTTCTGGGGGCCTTTGGGTTTTAGGATCAATTTGAAAAATAGATCTAAGATGGTTGGAGGTGAGAGAACTGTTACCTACTGAGTATTGCTTCGTGGAGTTACTTCATGGTATGTACAGAAAAAAGACTGTGCTATGAGGAGGTGAAAGCCTGCCGAGACATAGCCTCTCTATTCTCAGAGAATAAAAGCACAAGAAATTCCCTTTAAGGGACTCTAGTAATTGGGTTAATCACTCACTAGGAAATAAGCTCAAATCCTGGAATAATGGAGGCTGAACAGGCTGTCAGTGCCTTGATTAAGAAAAGCCTTTGATCAGATGGAAAATAAAGCAGATGTTTTATTTTGAATTTGAGTTGAACAATAGGCCAATTATAATAAATCTGGGATTGCTGCTTAGAGGTTGTTAACTTTATCAAGATTGGATCAGCCAGTATCAACTTGGGTTTTTATAAGGTGGAAACAAGTTGTTAACAGGAAAGGAAAATGGAAATAGGATAAGTGAATTGAAAAAAAATCTTAAGGTTCATTATTGTGCCAAGCCCTGTGCTAAGTAAAGAGTGAAATTAAAAGGGAGGAATTTGGGTTGACACTTGGAAGCCAAGTACACAATCATTTACTAAGGACATTAAGCACCCACTATGTGCTAGGCATTGTGCTAAGTAAGCACTGGCGATAGGAAGGAAGGGAAAAAATAGTCCCCTTCTCAAAGAACTCAGTCTAAAGGGAAAGTCAACATACAAACAATTATGTCCAAATAAAATAAATTAGAGATAATCAACAATGGGAAAGTACTAGCATTAGGGATAATTAAGAAAGGCTTCTTGGGAAAAAATGGGATTTGATATTTATAGCTGGTCTTTTTGTGCTAAGAATTGGAAATCAAATGTCCATCAGTTGAGGAATGGCTGAACAAGTTGTGGTATGTGATTGTGATGGAATATTATTGTGCTATAAGAAATGACAAACCAGCAAATTTCAGAAAAACCTGGAAAGACTTACATGAATGGATGCAAAGTGA